TCCGAGTTTAGAACCGGGTTCTAGGGGGCATCTCTTAATACAAATAAGTCTCTTAGCTGCTTGTTGTGCTGTCTTCTTCCAGGTGTTTAATGATCCCATCCACGGTCACGTGGAGATGCATCCTCTTCTCATCAGAATCATCGACACACCTCAGTTCCAGAGGCTCCGAAACCTCAAGCAGCTCGGCGGGGCCTACTTTGTTTTTCCTGGAGCATCCCACAACCGCTTCGAACACTCCATCGGGTACGTCCTCCTGCGATAGACGCGGCGTTTACTGACCGAGGTTTACAAAGAGCCATCGTGACCCAACATCGCTCTGCTGTTAACTACATTAATAAAGCCATGATGTCATCTTTAGGGTCCAACAAAAGGCCAGACACCGAGTCGCCAAAGTGACAAACAGAAGTTTAATAAAAGATGGCTGACACTTACGACATACTATGTTTTGAGGTCAGAATTTTCCCTGTTGAAATTTAACATCTTCTGGTTTGAGGTACGAAACGTAACAAAAGAAAAACATGGCTGACCGTGATAGAGCTGCCTCTTTATTGGCTTAGTCGACTCAGATTTCTTTAGTCTATTGGTACATTTGATTAACCGAAGATAACTTTCAGCGAATTGTGTCATTGCAAGAACTCCTGAACAACCGTAACCAATTTAAAAAAGACTCTGTAACGTAGGAAGTGCATTACCAAATGTTACATTAGGTCTTATCTGTATGAAGTTATTAATGCATCGTGTTCTTCTGCTACAGAGTCGGTTACTTGGCAGGGAGACTTGTACAAGCTCTGAACCAGAGGCAGCCAGAGCTGCTCATCTCTCGCAGAGACGTCCTCTGTGTGCAGATCGCTGGGCTCTGCCACGACCTGGGTGAGTGCTGCAGGTCCTCACGGGTTTCAGGGTTTAACCTCTTAAGCCTCCGTCTGCGTGCGTGAGCGAGAACGGAAGCGATACTGTGTTCATTGCATCCCCCTTCCTCTCCAGGACACGGGCCCTTCTCCCACATGTTTGACGGGATGTTCATCCCCAAAGCACGGCCAGGGATTACCTGGAAGGTAGGAAACAATGTGATCTATATTTATCTTGGCCCTTAAAAGAGTACTTTATGGATCACTTCTTGTGCTTCCATTAGTTTCTTTCCTCAGTTGGAAAGTCTCTTCCGGTTTCCTCCCTCAGGTGCTCTCTGCGGTTTCAAACCAGCGGTGTGATTCACCAGAAAGTTTTTTGGCAGTCAAGGAGATGCGAACAAAGACCTTTTGATTCATAAGTCGTGCGTTGTTGTACCACCCCAGACCTGCATGTCAACTGAACTGGATTTAAACGTTTTTAAGGAGCGTCTCACCTCAGTTCGGTTTGAACACACAACTCAAAGCGGACTGAAGTTAGCCACTGTTTTTGTAAGATATTGCAAAAAAAAATGTGACCAACCGGAAAAGTCAGACAGAGAAGATTACTACGGTCTATTTTAGAGTGGGAAAGGCCTCGAGGTCTCTCTGTCACTCACCGCGGAGATTATTTTCATCTGCTATATAATGTCGTCCCCTGCAACCTAAAGACTCTGTTTGCATCACAATCATCTGGGAGTCGGATGCTGGAAACATTTACGATCCTCTCGTCACATAACTCTGAAATAGGCGATGCCATCTTTAACTCTTGACTACAAGGACACCGTTTGCTCTACTTTTGTTCTTACTCTAAACTGGTTTACGTTCCTGCTCGACCACACGGTGGGAAGTTACAGCAATAAACAGCCTCTTGTCTTCTTTATATGCAGTCATAATTAATGACAGTCGAGCACTGAGATGGCGATTGCACCGTTCAGAGAGATAAGAACCACAAGGCACACGGTCATTATGTTCGTTATCAGCACAGACGTGCAAACGTGAGATAAGATGAGTGTTAACCTTTATATACTGTCGTGTTTCAGCTGAGATAAGCACTTTCTATTTGAGTAATTAGTTGTTCTGCTTTCGTTTTTAAATTGTAAACCATTAAAACGTGTCCCATATTAATAACGCGAGTGTGTTCTTGTGTTGCAGCATGAGAAGGCCTCTCTCGACATGTTTGACTACCTGGTGGCTGACAACGGGCTGGAGCCGGTGATGGAGCAGCACGGCCTGAAGCTGCCCGAGGATCTGGACTTCATCAAGGAGCAGATCGGTGGACCACCGGTCACGGTCACAGCTCGAGGCCAGAAGGTAGAAGCTGCCGGTTCTGCACGTGTGAAATAAATCCGTAGCATCATTCAGGTTTTATCGTGGAAAAAGTGAGAACGTTCTCCTGTTCTCCCTGAGCAGGGAAATGAACTACTAGTTATTTGTATTAAGAGATGCCCCCTAGAACCCGGTTCTAAACTCGGA